AGGGGGCGCCCGCGCTTTCGCAGCTGCGGGAGGAGGGCGGGAGGAGTCGCCCACCAGGCCCTGCTTCTGACTGGAACTGGAGGCTCAGCCTCTTCCTTCAGGATTCTTTCTGGAATTTTTTTTTTTTTTTCTGGAATGTTAAAAGACCTTCACCTGGGGCTGTTCCCCAGACCACCGCCCAGCCCACCTTCTGCTTTCACAAGCTGAGGCAGCCTACCAGAAAAGGCCCAAGTCTTGTAACTTTATTAGCACCAGGCTTTGAACTCCCAATTCCCTTTGCATACTAAGCCTTAGGTTACTGGAGTGCAAGTGGTTGGGGGCGAAAGAAACTTGCAAGTCAGGAAAGACCGGAAGACTGAGAATCTTTGGCCCTCCAGTGAGGAAAATACTGCAGTGAACAAAATGCGAAAATCGCTGCCCCTTGGAGCTTAGTGAGCAGAAGGTCTGGGAATCCTGGAAAAAGCCCGGGCGGTTAGCAACTTCCCTGAAGCTGCCCTGGCACTGGCACTCTGGACAAGGTCTGGATTCTGAGACTTCTGGTCACTATTGTGATTCCTGACACTGATGAAATGACCATCCTTGAATCCTACGTATGACATGGTAATGACATAATCAGAAACCGCTATAGAAACAAAGAACAAGCTAACTCGTGGACCCTTCATCTGCTACACATCAAAAGCATGATTTTTTTTCCCCCTAAGGCAGTCAGGAACTTAAAAGGAATTTAAAAGTGGATTTTGTTAGATCCATGATTCTTCATTTGGATTTACAAATGCCCAATAGTTAATTACAGGTAGAACAAAGCTTGACCTTCATTTTCTGAAATTCTGTGTCTAATCCTTCTCAGCTCTGCATATAGTCAGGGTAGTCATTTAGGGTGTGTCTGTTAGCCCAATCTAACCTATCTCATAGCCTTTCAAGACTGAGAACATCTAGGCTCAGAAGTCTCCACTTCCCTAAACATAGGGTAAGCCTGGATTCCAGCAGAGCCTTACAAGACTGGAATAACCCTTATGGCTGGTCATAAGGGGTCCTCCTGGGGGAACCAAATTGCCCTTCAAATCACAAGGCTTCAACCTGACCTATGAAACCAGGACTAAGATATTGACCGACCTGTCCAAAGCACTCCATAAAACTTGTTCTTTGGCACCACTCATGGGCCAATCTGATCGTCTTTATCAGAGTGTGCCCTGTCCCACTACTACCCAAGCTGGAGTCTTCTCCTTGTCTTCTTTTGCCTTTCAATTAAAGCTTTTTCCTACAAATTAGTGCTTTAGTTTTAATTTTCATTATCACTAAAGTATGGGCCCACGCTAACCGGTGAAATATTTAAAATTCAAAATTTGAGCAATGCAAATAAGGTAGCAAAATTACCAATCCATTCTGTTTCAACTTTGATTTTCGTGAACAAGACGATTACATTTCTCCGTAGTAGTTATGTCTTGTAGTGTTTTGGGTTTATCTTTTTGTTTCTCAAGAAACAGTTTAAAATTTTGCAGCCACCCAAAGCAGTCCATCTTGCTCAGGAATGTCCCACAACTTTTATTTGTGTCCAAAATAACATTTTATGAGATAAATCAGAACTTAGGTGGCTACAAAGGACCTCCTGTCACTTACTTGCAGAAATCAAAATAAATTTGATATAAGGACTGACAATCCATATCATCATCATCATCACTCCCATTACTGCTTAAAAGAAAAAGGAGGATTTCAAAAAGTGAAAGATACTGGTTTCCAAGATCAGAAAGGAAATATAGCAAGATGCCTGAAGAGGAAATGTTTTGCAGAGGATACCATGGGATTTCAGTGACCTCAAGTAATTAGGAGCACTGCTGTGCTTATAATTGGAAAGACAAAGGTTTATTTAAACTCAAAATTATCTTTAATGTCCAATTTGTTTTGAAAGAAAGAAAAAGTACTTCTTTGAGTTATTTCCAAAATAGCAGCAGTTCAAACAGTTCAGTAGGTTCATAATTAACTGCTAAAGAGATTAGTGAACAAAACATTTTAAATTTAAAATATCACTAAGTTACTTGATTTTAGTTTAAAATCCAATATTCCTATTTAAATGGTAGGAAAGTATTCATTTAGTTGTTTGACTTATTTATTAAAGATACTGTACAAAATAATTGGATAGTTCTTATCCTATTTCTAATTTTCTAAATTCAATATAAGTGCTAAGAGCGAAATAATATGAATAGCATGATGACAGTTGTCAGAAGTATTAGGAGGCCATTGCTGAAGCCTGCTGTCAGCAAGGGGTCCATGGAAATTGATGTAAGGGTACAGTAATCTACTACTGTATTTAAATTTTTCTAGTCAATAGGCTTCTTCTTTGCTCTTCCTTTCTCTGTTGATTTCTTAACCTGCTTTTCATACTTCATTTAGCATGTTCAAATAAAAAAGTCAATGTGAATGTCTTTTAAATTGACACTATCCTAAGGCACTGAAGTCCCATGAATAAGTTTCTGCACTATGACATTTAGAAGTAATCATCACAGAGACAGCATAATGTCAGCTTGATATTTCTCACACTATGAAAATATCAGCAACATGTCAAATATCTAAGTGTACCTTAATGTAATAAATTTTCTTGTATTCACAGGCTACTGACAATTCTAAATATTTAAATGTGGAATGAATGTCTACAGTTAGCATTATCTATCTCTAGCCACATCGCTCTTCTGCCCCCACATGCAGGCGCACAAGTGTGTAATTTGCTAGCGTACTATTATGTTACATGCAGCTTTTCTAAATAGATAAGACCATAAGAGTGAAGAGTTTAAAACTCCAGTTGAAACCACCAACCCAGGAGGTAGTTCTTTTAACTTTTGAGGAGAAATAATTCTATTCTCTTTTTCATGAGTAGTGTGTACACTTAAATACTCAACTCCAAGTCTAAAATCTTAAGTTTAAACCCATTTAGGCATAGAAATAAGAATACAAAATTTTGGGAGTATTGAGAAAGACTGTCAGTAGGGGCCAAGGATTTATCTCAATGGCACCACTCCTGCCTTGCAAGGGCAAGGTGTCAAAATAGGCCCAGTTTGCTTTATGGGAAACCATTCACATGGCCAAGACCATTGACAGGTCAGTGTTTATTAATGTTGTAAAAACAAGTCTTCAGTATCACTAGGGTTTACAAGTACATGTAGTTAAAATAGTACCCAATAATTAATTTTGGTTATCACTGTAAATTATATTTTCACACTATGTATTACTAGTGAAGCCAGTTTTTATTATCTGAGATAGGGTTGAGAATTGTAAGACTTTTTTTTTAGACAGGGTCTCACTCTAAATTTCAGTTCAGGCTGGCCTCAAATTCACAAGGATTCTCCTGCCTCAGTTTCCAGAGTGCTAGGTTTATAGGCGTGAACCACTACATCCAGCTATGAAACTTTATGAAAACCCTTTACTCCAAACTCATAAAAGGACTATAAATGATTAAACTATGCCAGATAGATTCTCAGTGCTTGAAAAATGGAAAAAGGAACAACTACTATTGAAAAATTAAAATTAGATCACCTTTAGAAAATGGAAAGAGGGAGGAAAAGAAGGAAGGGAAAGAGAGAGGAAAAAAGGAAGGAGGGAAGGAAAAAGGAAGTCTGGGGAAATGGGAAGATGAACACTTCAAAAATAATTTTTTTTAAAAAATGAATTTTTTTGAGAAGGAAACAATGAGCTAGGAATTTGTCATAAGATTAGAAGATGTAAAGATTGATTCACCTGTGTGAACAATAGAGATCTGAAATTTTATCCAGCAATAATAAAAGGTCTTAGGTGGGAAACTCACTGATGGGTAAATAATGATTCTGTATTGAATTCTTCTGACTTTCATATATTTTATCTTTAATGGGAGTTAATTTTAAAAATTTCTCAAAAAATAATACCTCAAGATGTTTGAGTTTTGCAGAATGCTCAGTTAGGCAAAGAACAGAAGAAAAGGAGGAATTTAAATTAAGGAAAAAGAAAAATATCAGGGCTAACTAGTGGGGGAAGATACTAAGAGACCACAAGATAGCAGGTTCTAAAGCAATTTAAGATTGGTTTCGATGAAAAAAACGTAGAATCTAAAACTTCAGTGGCTTTACCAAAGTACAAGTGTTCTTCCCTCCCACACGCACAAACTAGAGGAAGGCAATGCCCAGATCCAAGCTCCTTTTTTTTTGGCTCTGCTCTGCTTTGATTCCCACAGTCTCACGGTGTACTATGTAGCTATAGGAATTATAAAATGTCTATATCTGATAATCAGAATGTTGATCCATTGGCAAGAACTCAATCTCATGAGTGTTCCTAGCTTAAAGGAAATCTGAACAAATGAACAATTTTTAATCTGAGAGGCCATGTAATGAAGTAAAAATACAGAAAGAAATTAAGTACTATGATTCTTATTATTTCTCTTTTAATGTGGAGAAAGGT